CTGGATGGCCCAGGAGGTCTCTTCCAACTCTATGGTTCTATGAAAGGTCTGGAAGCCAAGTGCTATGAGACATGTCTTAGGAAGATGAGATGTTTAGTTGGAGAAGAAAAGTTGCGAGGGGACACGAGACCCATGTTTATATATTTACAAGGTGGAGCAGGATTGTTTTGTGCTGCTCCAGAAACAAAGACAAAATGGAACAACAATTGTGAACACCAGGAAAAGAGATTCCATCTTAAACATTAGGAAGAACTTCTTGATAGAATCCTAGAATCCAAGAGTTGGAAGAGACCTCCTGGGCCGTCCAGTCCAACCCCATTCTCACAGTCAGGAAGTTCTTCCTCATGTTCAGATGGAATCTCCTCTCTTGTAGTTTGAAGTCATTGTTCCGCGTCCTAGTCTCCAGGGAAGCAGAAAACAAGCTTGCTCCCTCCTCCTCCCTGTGGCTTCCTCTCACATATTTATACATGGCTATCATATCTCCTCTCAGCCTTCTCTTCTTCAGGCTAAACATGCCCAGCTCCTTAAGCCGCTCCTCATAGGGCTTGTTCTCCAGACCCTTGATCATTTTAGTCGCCCTCCCCTGGACACATTCCAGCTTGTCAATATCTCTCTTGAATTGTGGTGCCCAGAATTGGACACAATATTCCAGGTGTGGTCTAACCAAAGTGGAATAGAGCATGGGGAGCATTACTTCCCTGGATATAGACACTATGCTCCTATTGATGCAGGCCAACATCCCATTGGCTTTTTTTGCCGCCACATCACATTGATAGTCAGATGGAATGGAAAGCCTCAGAGGTTGGTGGCCTCTCTCAAGGTTTTTCAACAGAGGTTGGATAGGCATCCTTTGGGACTGCTTTAGTTGTCTACCTGCAGAATGTGGTTGGATTGGATGACCCTTGATGTTTCCTTCAACTCTATGACTCTATGGTGGTCAACAACCCAAGTATTAATTAGAAGGGACCCTGGTTGAGCTCCAAACTCAGGCAAGATTTGGTATGTTCAGAGTGGGATGCTGTTTCTTTGGCAATGCCCCCCTTAGCTTTACCTAGTCCACTGATGGTGTCGATCTAACCCAGAATGTGTCAGCTCTACTTCCTCCTCAGTGTGTTTCGTGATGGTTTCCTCCCCGTTCTTTACCCTGTCCCTCCTCATCAGCGTGTGGGTTTTGGAAAAGGAGGTTAAGCAGGTGATTAATAGCACCAAAGTGGAAGGAAGAGCAAGGTTCTCTCATCTCAAAAGAGACTGATTTGGAGGCGCCGATGGTTGTGGGGTGCCTGTGACAAAGCTTTCTTCTCATCCCTCCCCTGCGTTGGCCTACCCATCGCCCCCCAAACCCATTTTCTCCCTGAAGGCGAAGCATGAATGGGTGTCAAGTGCAGGAAGGTTTGTAGGTGTGGGAGGATTTGTAAAAAGCAGGATTGAGGGAATACTGTCAGTTTGTGGGAAGACATACTCACTCTCTCTGCATTTGTAGAAAAGTTACCCTATATACTCGAGTATAAGCCTTGTTTTTCAGCCCCCTTTTTAGGCTGAAAATGTCCCCCTCGGCTTATACTGGAGTCAAGGTTATTTATTATATTACTCTGTTGTTGTTGTTCTTATTATTACATTTATTATTTTACTCTATTATTGTTATAATTATTATATTTATTACTTTACTAGCTGTACCCACAACATGTTGCTGTGGTCAACCTCCCCCCCACCTTTCTCTCCTTCTTTCTTTCTCTCCTTCCTTCCTTCCTTCCTTCCTTCCCTCTTTTTTTCTTTAGCTTTCACTTCTCCTTTCTTCCCTGTTTTTCTTTTTCTTCTGCTTTCACTTTGTCTTTCTTCCTTCTCTATCTGTTTGTTTCCCCACTTCCTTTGCTCTTTGGTTGAATAACATCGGGGACAGAATTGAACCCTTCTTTCTCTCTTCCTTCCTTCCTTCCTTCCTTCCTTCCTTCCTTCCTTCCTTCCTTCCTTCTCTTCCTATTTTTCCTTCCCTCCTCCTCTCCTTCCTTCTTTATCTTTCGTTCCTTCTCTCCTTCCTTCCTTCCCTTCTTTCACTTTTTATTTCCTTCTCTCCTTCCTTCCTTCCTTCCCTCCCTCCCTCCCTCTTCTTCTTTTCCTTCTGCTTTCACTTTGTCTTTCTTCCTTACCTGTTTGTTTCCTCCCTTCCTTTGCTGTTTGGTTCCATCCTTCCTTCCTTCCTTCTTTCACTTTTTTATTTCCTTCTCTCTTTCCTTCCTTCTCTACCTTTTTCTTCTTCTCTCCTTCTTCCTTCTCTTCTCTTCCTCCTCCTTCTTCCTTCCTTCCTTCCGTCCTTCCTTCCTTCCTTCCTTCCTTCCTCCCTCCCTCCCTCCCTCCCCTTCCCTCCTCCTCCCTCTTTTCTTTTTCTTTCTCTCTCTTTCTTTCTTCCTTCCCTACCTGTTTTCCTCCCTTCCTTTGGTCTTTGGTTCCATCCTTCTTCTCTCCTTTCTTCCTTCCTTCCTTCCTTCCTTCCTTCCTTCCTTCCTTCCTTCCTTCCTTTCTTTCTTCTCTCCTTCCTTTCTTCCCTTTCTCTTTCATTCCTTCTTTCACTTTTTTATTTCCTTCTCCCCTTCCCTCCTTCTTTCCCTCCTTCTCTCCTTCCTTCCTTCCATCTCTACCTTTCTTTCCTTCCCTCCTTCTTTCCCTCTTTCTCTTCCTCCTTCTCTCCTTCCTTCTTTTCCCCTTTCTATGTATATGTATTTTGTGTGTGTATATATATGCATGTATTTGTGTGTGTATTTGTGTATGTGTTTATATATGTGTGTTTGTGTATATATGTGGTTTTCCGCATGCTTTATAATGTATTTTTTTGGGGGGGGTTTGCTTTTAAAATATCTTTTGCGGTGTTTTTCAGTGTTTTTATGAGTGATGTTCACTCGTTGACCTGATAGGTGTCTTGTGTCCAAATTTGGTGTCAATTCATCCAGTGGTTTTTGAGTTATGTTAATCCCACAAACAAACATTATATTTTTATTTATATAGAAAATTAGTATTACTACATTTATTATTTTACTTTATTCTTGTTGTTATTGTTACATTTATTATTTTACTCTCTTTAATATTATTGGAAGGATATGTAAGCACATTTACATTGAAGAAGGTTAGACTAATGGTTTAATCAGAGTTGGACAGTCTTATCTTAAATTACAGTTTTATGTAAATACTAGCCGCGCCCTGCCATGCGTTGCTGTAGCCCACATGGGGGTTCTGTGTGGAAGGTTTGGCCCAATTCTATCGGTGGGGTTCAGAATGCTCTGGGATTATAGGTGAACTACAAATCCCAGCAACTACAACTCCCAAATGTCAGGATTCTATTTTCCCCAAACTCCACCAGTGTTCACATTTGGGCATATTGAATATTCATGTAGAGTTTGGTCCAGATCCATCATTGTTTGAGTCCACAGTGCTCTCTGGATGTAGGTGAACTACAACTCCAAAACCAAAGGACACTGCCCACCAAACCCTTCCAGTATTTTCTGTTGATCATGGGAGAACTGTGTGCCAAGTTTGGTTCAATTCCATCGTTGGTGGAGTTCAGAATGCTCTTTGATTGTAGGTGAACTATAAATCCTTATATTCAGGTTGGTTATACTTGAGTATAAGTGGTTCTCAACCTTCCTAATGCCGTGACCCCTTAATACAGCCCCTCATGTTGTGGTGCCCCCCAACCATAACATTGTTTTTGTTGCGACTTCATAACAGTCATTTTACTACTGTTATAAATCATAATGTAAATATCTGATATGCAAGATGTATTTTCATTCACTGGACCAAACTGGGCACAAATACCCAATGCACCCACATGTAAATGCTAGTGGGGTTGGGGGAGGATTGATTTTGTCATTTGGGAGTTGTAGTTGCTGGGATTTATACTTCCCCTACAATCAAAGAGCATTCTGAACTCCACCAGCGATGGATTTGAACCTAATTTGCCACACAGAACTCCCATGACCAACGGAAAACACTGGAAGGGTTTGGTGGGCATTGACCTTGAGTTTGGGAGTTGTAGTTCACCAATATCCAGAGAACATTGTTTGAGAGTGGACTCAAACAATGGTGGAGCTGGACCAAACTTGGCACAGATACTCAATATGACAAGCTGGAATGTGTCCAGAGGAGGGCGACTAAAATGATCAAGGGTCTGGAGAACAAGCCCCATGAGGAGCGGCTTAGGGAACTAGGCATGTTTAGCCTGAAGAAGAGAAGGCTGACAGGAGATATGATAGCCATGTATAAATATGTGAGAGGAAGCCACAGGGAGGAGGGAGCAAACTTGTTTTCTGCTTCCTTGGAGACTAGGACGCGGAACAATGGCTTCAAACTACAAGAGAGGAGATTCCATCTAAACACGAGGAAGAACTTCCTGACTGTGAGTGCCGTTCAGCAGTGGAACTCTCTGCCCCAGAGTGTGGTGGAGGCTCCTTCTTTGGAAGCTTTTAAACAGAGGCTGGATGGCCATCTGTCAGGGGTGATTTGAATGCAATATTCCTGCTTCTTGGCAGAAAGGGGTTGGACTGGATGGCCCATGAGGTCTCTTCCAACTCTTTGATTCTATGATTATATGATTCTATGAATATGAGCAAATGTGAACACTGGTGGAGCCTGGGGAAAACAGGCCTATGACTTTTGGGAGTTGTAATTGCTGGGATTTATAGTTCATTACAATCAAAGAACATTCTGAACTCCACCAACGATAGAATTGGCTTAAACTTCCCACATGGAATCCCCATGACCATCAGAAAATACTGTGTTTTCTGATGGTCTTTGGGGACCCCTCTGACACCCTTTTGCGACCCCCTCAGGGGTCCCGACCCCCAGGTTGAGAAACACTGGTATAGACGGTAACTAGGAAGGAGGAAAGTACTTTCCTCTCTTTGCTGCCTGCCCATCTTTTCTTCCCCTCTTTCCTTTTGCTTTCTTTCTCCCATGGTTTTGACCTTGTTCCTTCACTTCTCTCTCTTTCCTCCCCGTCTCTGAATCTGTAGGTGTGTTTCTCCCGTCCGGCTGGGACACTGCTTGTGCGACCGGGCCAAAAATGGAACGCAACAGACGCCTTTCCTCTGACGGAGTGACCTTTTGCATTTCCCTTTAAGACTGCTTTCTCCGATCCTGTCCACTCAAGCCGCGGCCTTTCCTGGTGGCTTTCTCCTCTTCCTTTTCTACTTGGGCCGGCAGTCTCCGTTTCTTCCTCTCCCCCACTTTGAGGGTCCCCCCAGAACCCTTGACTCTCCTTGTGCGCACACCCAACCGCCGCCATGCTTCTCTCACCTTCGAGTTTCGTCCTTCGGGTGCTGAACATCCGGACAAGCTCTGCCCTTTTCTTCTGGCTTTTGGGGCTCGCCCTGCGCTCGCTCCCCCTTTCGGGGCAGAAACCCGAGGACAAATACCCTGTGGTGCCCACCAATTATGGGAAGCTGCGGGGAATCAAGAAAGACCTGAACAACGAGATCCTTGGCCCCGTGGTGCAGTACCTGGGCATCCCTTACGCCACGCCGCCCGTGGGGGAGAGGCGCTTCCAGCCCCCCGAGGCGCCCGCTTCGTGGTCTGAGGTGCGCAATGCCACCGCTTTTGCTCCCGTCTGCCCGCAGAACATCCACGGCATGCTGCCCGGGATCATGCTGCCCGTCTGGTTCACGGACAACTTGGAAATCGTCGCCGGCTATGTCCAGAACCAGAGTGAAGATTGCCTCTACCTCAACATTTACGTGCCAATGGAGGACGGTAAGCGGGGGAAAGCACAGGGGTCGGATGGAAGAGGGACGGGTGGGATTGCTTTCTTAACCCCCTTGCTTCCCCTCCTCTGTGCCGTGTCATTGGGCAGCACCCCTTCTTCGTAAGGAAGTCATCCTTTCCTAATTGGAGTGATACCCCCCTTCCCCATTTATGTCATGGCTTTCAGTACTAACCTTGGGAGAACGACCCTTTTTGGAAGCGATGTGTGTTACCTTTTTTTGGATGCGAAATCGGAGATAATTTCCTTTTTTTGGACGAGTGTTCCCCGAAAGTTTCCTTTTTGGACAAGAACTCCCCGAGATTTATCTTTTTGGCTAAGACCTTCCTGAGAACTAGCTTTTTTTTTGAATGAGAAGACCCATAATCCCCCAACCAGCGATATGGAAATTCTCATCCAAAAATGGACATGTCCCGTATCCTTTTCTACCCGTTTCTCCTCCATTCTAATCAGAATAATAATAATAAAAACTTTATTTATACCCCGCTACCATCTCTCCAAGGGACTCGGTGAGGCTTACATGAGGCCGAACCCACAATACAACAACAAAAACAATAGCAACAGTAATACAAACAGTAAATAAACTCATAAACAGAAAATAGCAATATTTATCGTGTCAGGGCAACCAGTCAATTATATTACATTTCTAACAGAACAAAGCAAACAAACAGACAAAATACAAAATTTGTGAGTTTGGTAGTTGATTAAATGAAAATAGCAATAAACATTAACAATAACACAATGACGTTTAAAAACCTATGGCAGGGCCAAATGTACTAATTAAAAATTTAAAAAAAATTATGCTGGGCGTGACCAAGGTGACATATAAACAAGATAGAAATTTTGGAGAGGGATAGAGCGTGCAGACAATCCTAGATCACTAAAAAGTGCATTGAGGGACATATTGCTGGGAGTTTCCTTATTCTGGGAAGGCACACTGGAACAACCACGGTTTCAGGCTCCTCCTAAAGACTGCCAGCGTTGGGACATGTCTGATGTCCCTGGGGAGTGAGTTCCAGAGTCGAGGGGCCACCACCGAGAAGGCCCTGCCCCTCGTCCCCACCAATCGTGCTTGCGATGAAGGCGGGAGCATGAGCAGGGCCTCTCCAGATGAACGAAGAGATCGTGTGGGTTCGTACACAGTGATGTAGTCACGCAGGTAGGCGGGTCCCAAACCGTTTAGGGCAGTGGTTCTCAACCTTCCTAACGCCACAACCCCTTAATACGCTTCCTCATGTTATGGTGACCCCCAACCATAAAATTAGTTTCGTTGCTACTTCATAACCCATTTTGCTGCTGTTATGAATAGTAACAGATTGGGGGAGGGTATTGATTTTGTCCTGTGGGAGTTGTAGTTGCTGGGATTTATACTTCACCTACAATCAAAGAGCATTCTGAACTCCACCAACGATGAAACTGAATCAAACTTGGCACACAGAATTCCCGTGACTAACAGAAAATACTGGAAGGGTTTGGTGGGTAGTGACCTTGAGTTTTGGGAGTTGTAGTTTACCTACATCCAGAGAGAACTGTAGACTCAAACAATGATGAATCTGGACCAAACTTGGCACGAATTCTCAGTATGCCCAAATGTAAACACTAGTAGAGTTTGGGGAAAATATACCTTCACATCTGGGATTTATAGTTCACCTACAATCAAAGAGCATTTGAACCCTACCAAGGATTGAATTGGGCCAAACTTCCCACACAGAACCTCCATGACCAACAGAAAATACTGTGTTTTCTGGTGGTCTTTGGTGACCCCTCTGACACCCCCTCGCGACCCCTCCAGGGGTCCCGACCCCCAGGTTGAGAAACACTAGTTTAGGGCTTTGTAGGTAAGCACCTGCACCTTGAATTGGGACCGGAAAATGAACGGCAGCCAATGGAGAACCTTGAACAGGAGGGTTGACCGCTCCCTGTAAGGAGCTCCAGTTAACAACCTGGCCACCAGTCGTTGAACCAATTGAAATTTCCGGGCCGTTTTCAAGGGCAGCCCCACGTAGAGTGCATTACAGTAATGCTCCAAATCCTGTCCTCTTCTGACCACAAATCCCATTGTTTAGAATATCGTAAACCCCGTCAACCCGTGATTTTTAAACCTGGGTGAGCCCTGGTTGTTGGCACACTATGGAATGCAGAAGCCCGGAGACGTAGAGTTTTTCCCTTTTGCAAATTTGGGGAAGAAAGGAGAAGAAAGGAGAAAACCCCTCTTTCGAGATGGAAATAATATTTGCCTTTACTCCTTCCCTGGTTACCAAACGTAAAAGGTTCCTAACACTCAGGACATCTGGTCAGGAAGAATAACACGGTAGGCATACCTGTTATTGGCACATCCTGAAGTGTTTTGTGAACTATTCTGCACATAAATGCACCCAAGTGGTGTCTTACATAGAAATACGTTTTCTGCGCAAAAACCCATCTTTTTCTTTGCAAAATCTCCCTCTGGTAGTTTCAGAAACACATTTGAGATTGCGTGCAAAGGAGAAAAATTCTAATACAGAGGATAATTTCCCAGAGCATTTCAGGATCTACTGAGGCAAAACAACACTTAAAATTTTGTTACTTTGCAGCAAGGAGGAAACAATAGAAATGTAGTTGGGCGAGTGGGTTTAATAACAAAAGGCTCTCCTCATAAATGTATAGCAGAGGAACTTTATTACTCTGCACATTATTCTGCACATAACAGTGTGACCCAGAACCAGGAGCCCAAAGTGATAAAAGGCACACAGACCAATGTTAGCTCTTCCATAGGAACCTTTTCTTTGCAGCAAAATAATATAGTTGCACTATTTATTTATATATATATAAAAAAAACCAACAAGGTTTCCATAACACAAATAAAGTTATTTACACTTCCTTCTTTGCTTCCACGCTGGGCTTCTTTCTCATGCAGATAAACAGCTTCGCTCTCACAGAGACTCTTCTCACACCGAACTTACACAGGAGCTTCACACAGTAACTTTTTACACACAGCAGCCTTTACACTGGAGTTTTACACAGTAACTTTACACCTGAGACCTGTAACCTGGAGCTTCCCTCACCCTGAGGTGAACTAACACTGAGGCCTTCTCATATTGAGGCCTACTAATACTGAGGCCTTTCTCCTACTGAGGCCTTCTCATACTGAGGACTCTCTCAGACTGAGGCAAACTAACACTGAGGTCTACCTCAAACCTAAGACTATGAAGACTGAGGCCAACCTTACACTGAGACCTACTAAGACTGAGGCCTATCACACACTGAAGTCTACTAAGGCTGAGGCCTACCTCACACTGAGGGGTACTAAGACTGAGGCGTACCTCACGCTAAAGCCTACGAAGACTGAAGCCTACCTCACACTGAAGCCTATTTAGACTGAGATCTACCCCACACTGAGGCTTACTAAGACTGAGGCCTACCTCACACTGATGTCTGCTAAGGCTGAGGCCTGCCTCATACTGAAGCCTACGCAGACTGAGGTCTACTTCACACTGAGGCTTACTAAGACAGAGGCCTACTAAGACAGAGGCCTACCTCACACTGAGGCCTACTAAGGCAGTGGGTGGTAGGCCTCAGTATTAGTAGGCCTCAGAATGAGAAGACCTGAGATCTACCTCACACTGAAGCCTACTAAGACTGAGGCCTACCTCACACTGAAGCCTACTTAGACTGAGGTCTACATCACACTGAAGCCTACTTAGACTGAGGTCTACCTCACACTGAGGCTTACTAAGACTGAGGCCTACCTCACACTGAGGCCTACTAAGACTGAGGCCTACCTCACACTGAAGCCTACTTAGACAGAGGTCTACCTCACAGAGGCTTACTAAGACAGAGGACTTCTAAGACTGAGGCCGACCTCACACTGAGGCCTACTAAGACTGAGGCCAACCTCACACTGAAGCCTACTAAGACTGAGTCCTACCTCACATTGAAGCCTACTAAGGGTGAGACCTACCTCACACTGAAGCCTACTTGGACTGAGATATATACATCACACTGAGGCTTACTAAGACAGAGGCCTACTAAGACTGAGTCCTACCTCACACTGAGGCCTACTAAGATTGAGGCCTACCTCACACTGAAGCCTACTAAGGCTGAGGCCTACCTCACACTGAAGCCTACTAAGACTTGAGATCTACCTCACACTGAGGCTTACTTAGACAGAGGCCTACTAATACTGAGGCCTACCTCACACTGAAGCCTACTTAGAATGAGATCTACCTCACACTGAGGCTTACTAAGACAGAGGCCTACTAAGACTGAGGCATACTTCACACTGAGGCCTCCCTCAGACTGAGGGCTACTAAGCTACCGGCACACCCACTAATATTAAACTGCAGCTTTTGCTGAGTCATGGCATCCATTGAACCCTTTCAGTGCTTGACTTGCATTTTTGTAATTTAAAAATGCCTAATTAATTTTTAATATTTCTGAGAATCCTTCCTTCCTAGTGAAGAGGAGATGCAATCAGTACTTCATACTTGTGGGTTTGACTTTTTTTGCAAATCTATAGACAACTTCTGGCAGAAGTTTATCACAGAATTGTGCTCAAAGACCTTGAGGTTCCTAAAAAGATCTTATCTCAAGTTAAAAAAAATCAATATGTACCAGCAAACTTGGGCCCTCCAGGTGTTTTGGACTTCAACTCTCACCATTCCTAACAGCCTACCGGCTGTTAGGAATGGTGGGAGTTGAAATCCAAAACACCTGGAGGGCCAGAGTTTGCTCATGCCCGCTCTATCCATTCCAGGACCCTGTTTTGAACCCCAAAGCCTGGGACCTTATGCATTGCAAATCCAGAGCTTGGAAATGTCTCGTTATTATGGTAGAGTCCCGCTTATCCGACCTTCGCTTATCCGACATTCCGTCTTATCCGACCTTCGCTTATCCGACACCCCCCTTTTCCTCCAGCATTTCCCCTTCAATGAAAGGAGTACTCCCCAACTCTCTGTCCATCTATATATAAATAAAAATATAATTTTCGTTTGTGGGATTCACAAAACTC